TCATCAACTCTGTGTCTATAAAGTACATATGCAATAAAGTACTTGTGGGGAATAAATTAAACTTGTAAACATAAGCTTTTTGGGAGGGGCCACCACTTTTTTGTTCTGTGCTTTAACAGCACCCAGTGACTCTTGCCTGTACCACAACACCAGGTAATAGCAAAAAGTAATAATTTGGCCCATCAGTATCAATTAGTGTTCGGCCTTCGGAAACATGTTAGGATCCTCCTCTAAGAGGAGGTGTTGGCAGGGGAAGAACCCAGAAATAACCTGCTTCATCTCCACTCCAGTCAGCTGTACTTTTTGCTTGACTTTTGCCTCATCACTTGCTAATTTAGCCACACAAAAAATAAACTGTAATCATTTAATCAATAACTCAAGAAGGGGACTCTTAAAATCACATTCCTAGACTTTGTACCTCATGTCCACAGCATTTCCTTGGATGGAGCCAAAGCTCACTGCCGTGAGCTACTCAAGCCTGACTCATCTAGTTGAAAAACAGAGAGATGATGGATTTCAAGTTTTCTCATTGCTGAACTATGATGGTTATTGGACAACAGGAAACCAGAGTAAACTGAGCTATTTAAAAGTTAGATAAGCAACCACCCAGGCTGCTTTCTGAAACAGCAACCTGTTTTATCCAGTTCTCAGCAAACACAATAGAAATGTCCCGCAAATACCTAACAATTTGCTAAGAAGCTTTTCCATTAACCCTGAGTAGGGACAACTGGTTCAGAAGTTTTGCTGAACTCACCCAGCCCAGCACTGCAGAGCCCATCCTAAAGTGGCTGTGCAGGAACTGGGTGCTGATGCTCAGCCATTCAAGTCTCTGGTGCACTGTGCAGTTTGTAGGAAAGGCGCAGCAGCAACCAGCAGCTCCATAGCTTGAGGATTCAAGTTCAGCTTTTCCCTACTGCCCCAGCAGGATTCAGAGGGACTCCCACTAAGATGTGATGATCCTGCTCCCAAAGCAGATGGTAAAGTTTGTGTGGTGCGGTTACCCCTTCAGACCTAAGCAGTTAGCCAAAATTCAAGGTGTAGCATGTTGTTCTCACTTGGAGGAGAAAGGGGCTTTCTTGGTATAATCCTGTTTGCTTGCAAAGAATATGCAAAGTCCAATGTCCTTGTACACAAGGGTGAATCAAAGCTCTCTGGGCTCTTTCAGCCAGTGCTCAGCCAGTGTGTTGACACTCCACCTAAATGTAAATTAAACCCCACATCTAGACGAGCCCCCCCAACCTCTCATCAGGCAGAAGCACAGTCTGTAAAAGCAGCAGGTTGATAGCAGGGAGTCCAGAGCCCACAACTCACAGACGTGACCCTAAGTCCCGGGTCAACAACAGGATTAGCATCCAAGGGTTCAAGGATTAGCATCTCACAAGCCTCTGTGCCTAGAAGAAAATGCTGCAGACCATGTGGCTATCATGAGGAGCAAGCCAGGACAACATAGACCTCGAAGTCACAGCGCTCAAATTACTAGGCAGCTGGATTTTTCCCTGCTTGGGTTCCAGTTCTGACTTTAGCAGCCATGGTTGCAAGAGCTGCCAGGACCAGAAGCCAATATTTTATTCCACTTCAAAAACCTTTGCTTGCATTGCCGCCAAGTACACAATCATTTACAGCTGTGACCAGCAGGGTTGATCACACTATTTTAGCAGCCTTCACACTCACCTGAGGTAAATAATTGCTCGAAGTAGAGGATAATGCAGAACCTCCCATCTGGGTATTGTACCTGTCTGATCGGTCAAAGCAGTATGTCAGCGCTTCCCATTGTTTCAGACATAAGTGGTCACTCTCCTGCCCTGCCTCAAGGGTTTTGTGTTTTATGAATGAATCCATGAGACTGGGCACATAGTCATGGAAACCCTTAGAAAAGAGGTGGGTTTTGCATTTGTCTCTGAGTTCAGTGAGGTTTGCTGTCATTCCTGTTTCTTCTGGCAGCAACTCTAAGTAGCTTGTGAACTCAGTTGTGATAGGATCTTAGCAACTGAAGAAATGGAGCAATAAATCCAGATGGTAGATCAGGAAAATGTGGTTTACAACACCTCCAAGCTTATGAGGTACCAGGACAAGGAAGGATTACCAGCCCTGGGCAATGCATCAGAAAGAAGAGTCTAAGCCCTATATTTGCATCTCAACTCTACGCAGGGTGGCCATCGGAGAGGACAGTCCGGTTGTCCTCTGTCCTCTATTGATATGAAACCTGATGCCTTTATGTCCTCTACTTTTCTCTTCAAAAGAACTGATCAAGAGAAAGATAGAGGATGTAAAGGTGTTGGGTTTTGTATCAATAGAGGACAGAGTAGCAGAAAACTGGACTGTCCTCTATGATGGCCACCCTAACCCTATGGGTTTTGCAAGATCCTTGCCCAATGAAAATGCCTGTGCATCTGCTAACTTGATTAGCTAGACAATAGGCTGCTAAAAATATCTGTTCCAGCAGCCAGGGGTATCTTTTTCATCTGAATCATCAGTCTTCCCTGTCTCACTAAGCTGTCCCAGCTGAATGGAGGAAGTTGTCAGCTCAAAAGCAAACAAGTGTCTCAAGAACAACCCATGAACAGCTCTAAAAGGCCCCCGGGACACACCAATGAACCCCTGACAAACTGGCTTTTGCTTCAGGTACTCTTGTGCTTCCCCCGGACTCCCTCACACTGTAGTAACAATGGGAAATGCTCCGCTCAAAACTTTCCAAGTTTGGGAACTGAAGTTGGATGCCCTTTCCAAGACCTGTTTTGCTTCCTCTCTTCTGAATTTCAAAGGATCTAAAATCCCATCGCTATTTCCCGGAAACCCTTTGGGCCTGATCCTCAACTACTCTGCTCATGAACCTGAGTCAGAGCGTAACAAGGGAAAGGCACTTGCGTGCACCTTGGCAGAATCTCCCGGCAGAGGAACACTACTCCCATCCAGACAGAGCCCTGCAGAGGCTGCTCAACTCAGCTGGGATCACACTAGGCTTTGAGCTCTCAAAAGGAAACCTTCTTCTTCAGAGACAAGGTTTTTGTTTGAGTGGTTTGGCCCTAGACCTGCAACTTACAGCAACAGACTGTTCACCCGGGAGCCACATCAGCGTTCTCCATCCTTGTCTTCCCTCCCTGCCCAGGTCCCTCTGCAGGGGAATAGGACAAACCTGTTCTCCACAAGCAGGTTCCTAACACCTCCAGATGCCTTCCTCCTCCCAGTTGCATGTGAACAGCTGCATGTGGCTAACTCCTGCTGGTGGCTCCTGTCCCCCTGGAGCATGACAATGTGACCAGGTCTCTAACAACCTCACAAGCATAGTCTAGGGGACATCTTCACCAGTGCACATTAGCTGCTGGGCACCTCCCTGCTGACTCAAACGCAACCAAGAATCCATCTGTCCTTGCTGGGTAAGTCAGGCTTGGGGTTGTTTGAATTACAGGAGTGGCACAAAGCAATCAGAGTGTACAGATAATTCCAGCCAACGGTCTCTGTAGGATGGCCTGGGAGATGGACCCAAAACTGAAGGTAAAGGAATAGGGTTGAGAAAAGGAAACTAACTCTTGCTGGGCCATGAGTCCTTGTGAGGAGATTCAGTCTACATGGGATGGGAAGGGAAGTGATGCAAGTACCATGCAAGAGCCTGCCTGCCCTTGTCTCTCAGTGAAGTGCAAGGGGAATGCACTAGCCCTTACAGCCAGTCTGACCAAAGCACCGGATGGCCTGTGAGAAGCAGTTGACACAGGCTGCTGTGCAATGCATGTGCTGCAGCCTAGAAAGGTCTGCTCCATGTCTAATTTCCTTGCCCCTGATGTCAGCAGTTCAGCTCATGTAGGAACATAGGAGGGGCCCTGTGTCCTCGACTGTTAGGAACTTTGTGATTGGAGTAAACCAATGCCTAAAAGCATCAGTATTTGATCTGACAGCGATGTTTCTTTTCCTTTCCCCACCCAGTGAATGCTAATTTAATTGCATATCTTACTAATCTCTTCTTTGTTCTGAGAACAAGACGAGGCCTTCAGTATGCCTGTTACATAACAATTGATTACATGCCTTGACCTTTCCGGAACATTTTATTTGTAAGCACATATGACTGCTTCAAAGGAGAGATGCTGAAAACAGCAGTATTTCTTCAGCATGTCCAGAAGACCTCATTTACTGACCACCAGGCTCCTCACTCTCAAAGTGATTCTCTAGAAACATCCTACTCCACAACCCCATTCCCTGCAAGTGCTCAGATCCACTAAAACTCCAGCTAGGGCAGTAGCTCTTGCTCTGTTAGCTCTGCAGCCCCTACATCACAGGGAGCTTCTATCAACTTCTCTAGCACCCGGGGTAAACCAAAAGAGCAAAAAGGAGCAGGGTTGGGAGTGTCAAAGGCCAAAAGAGCTGTGCCTGCTAAACACCCTTCCCAAAACAACCTGGAACTGAACCAAAGATTCCTAAATTTCACCTCCTTTTTGGTCAGCTCGGTGTAAGTCTCATTCTCTTCTAGCGGCTGGTGTTCAAAGAGGATGACAACCTACCGCTGCTACTAGTGACTCCAGAAGTCTGCACCATGATTGCCACCTTGCTGACTGACCATGACCAGTGAAAGGGTCAGTATGATTTCATGTGCTGGGATTTCTGACTTCTCTGCTTGTTCTTTAGAAACCTAGGAGTCCAGTGTTAAAAACCGGGATGTGATTCTGTTACTAAAAACTGTCTCCTACAGCATATGCATGAGGGAGCTCAAGTCTGGGATCCCCCAGCTCTTCAGCAGTTAATTTTGCAACCAGAATGTGCATTTAAGGTAGTTTATTGTATACGTGTCAGCTCCTAATTTTTTAAAAAGCAAACTAGGGAAGAAACCCTACATACTAATCCTCTGAAATTGTATTGACCTCCACTGGGGTCATCAGGAGGACTAGGACCATTACACTCACCACTCAGACCTCAGGGCACGGGGATTGTCACTGATCTTTGCTATTGGCCTAAGCTCCTCAAAGGCAGAACTGCAAAGTGGTGTCACCAAGGCTGATGCTTCACATGCTTACCTGGCACACTGAATGAACCGAGTTGCTTTTTCTGCATACTCCATAGCCAAGCTGGTCAAGTTGACAGGCTGTTGGACAATACTGATGTTTTCAAAGAGAGGAAGTGCCACCTTGGTGTAGCAGTCCTTCCCAAAGCTGCTAAGAAACCAAAAACTTTCCATTACTCAGAAACTCATGGTTTCTGAATAAACAGAGGGGGCTTGGTGGGGCCCGGACTTCGGAACATTAGGTCAATAGTGCTGTTATGACAAAAACCAAGTCTCAAACCTCTTGTCTCAGCTGCACGTGTAGTGTAGATCTCTGCGGGAGATTAATTCAGTCCCTACTTACCAGGCCCCCGATGGGAAGTGGAGCATGTTATTGTTGTTCTAGGAGAGCTTAGTGGCTCCAACAGAGAGGCAATAAGGCCTGCCCTACATTACAAACTTTTGTCAACAGCAGCTGGCTTTTGTTGCCACGGGTTTGCATGGGTTCACATACAGATCTGAGGTAAATTGGCAAATCTCAGTCTTTTCTTGGCCAAATGACACCATTGCCTCCCTGCACAACCCAAGCCCCCAGCTGGCATGCAGCCCTTGACTTAGTGGGTTCGGCATTACCCGTGTTGGTTCCTCACGTTTGCCAGCCACGATCCCACAAGGCGCCATACCCAAAACAGTGCCCATTCTGGTCACAGTTTTGAACTTCATTGTCCAGAGGTCACAGTGACTGAAAACCCTCCCTAATCTTTAAAATTGCTACTATCTTTTAGGAAGGTTTATTTCTTTACTAGCCCACCTTTGCAGGCTGACATGGATGGACAGCACCTAAACCTCATGCTTCTGCCCGGACCAGAATCCTGCATCTCCTCAGCTCACGCGGGCAATAGGCAGTACAAGCCCAGCTCCAGGGGTGCTGCCGGCGTAGAGGTGTTTATACAGACTTCCCATAAGGGATGCAAGCCCATGACTGCACACAGGATTCAATGAGAGAGCTCTGCCCTACAGAACTGCCAAACTGAACTGACCCTCTGCATCTGGAGAAAGCAAGCAGAGAAAACCTGAATGCCAGGCCCCAGGTGGCCCAGGGCATCTGTGGCAATGGCAAGAAAGGAGCCCAGATGGACTGAGTCCTAGGCAAGCATCTGAATCACGTTTTGCCCTCGGATGTAGTTTTGCCACGTGTCTCCGTGGGCCTCCCCTGTGATTCCTCCCTGTTGGATGCTGGTTTCCCAGGGTTTCCTACACAGGTTTTCTCCTGGACAAGAGGCAGCAACACCAAGGAAGAACAGTGTAGAGGACATATGTAAACAATTCAGAGACCACCTGATTCCTTCAATCCAGCCCCACCCCGTCCCTGTTTTACCAGAGGGATGTTCCCTCTGGGGGAAAGCAGAAGAAAGGATCTGGGTCCTGAGATCCACCCATTCAGCAATAACATGTTGAGAGAGAGACGCTTTGACCCTTGCTCCCATCAGCCCACTGACTCCTCTTCTACCGGCGGGAGAAGATGTACCTTGCCGATGCAGAGTGCAAAGGGCAGGCTGGACACGGAGGGAGGTTGTAGCCTGGGGTGTCAGTACAGCCCATGTCGTGACTGTAGGGGATCCCGAAGTAATAGTCGAAACCTGGGATCCAAAGGAGTGTGTTAGTGTGTACACAACTGCCTGCTGTCTGAGGGTGTGGTTTGGCTGTTACACACTGTTGACACAGTTGCTGGGTTGACAAGAACAAGAGGGGGTCAGGTCTAGTAGCTGCCCGTGGGCTCTATCCTGCAGTCAGAGCCACGCAGCAACTGCAAGAACCCGCAGAGCTCCTGGCTTTGCCTGCACAGCCCTAGGGACCCACTTCATGTTGGAGCTGAATGCAAACCTAGTGATATGTCACTGTTTGCATTGCCCTGCATTCCTTTCCCAGCCCAGTGCACTTTTGGAACCAAACTTCCCAGGGAATTTGGGAGGGCACATACAGGTGATACAAGGTGACATGAGGAAGTGCAAACTAAAAGCAACACTGGACTTCATTGCCCAGGTGAAAATGGACTTTTAAGGTCAAATCCAGCCCAGGGAACATGCCCCAGCTGCAACAACCAAAAGAACCCCTGGGTATAACCCTAAATGCAAAGGGAGATCCACAGATGAAATAGCTGCTTCAGCAGCTGGGTGCCAAAAGGCAAGACCACCTCGCAGACTGTGTCCTGTTCTGCACAGCACCCCCAGCACTGCTGTAAGGGAGCCAGGCAACAAGTCCTCCAATGGAGGGATGGGAAGAAGGCTATTGAAATGCACACAGTAGGAGCGGGGGTCGCCATCACCCCTTACACCCACACACCACCATCCCTCGGCACCTTTGGTGGTAAGCAAGGGCTTGTTCCACTTTCCTGCAGTCTGCACACGTGGGAGTCATTATGATTCCTACCAAGGGGGCAAAGGGGAAGAGTAAAGACAGCAGTCCCTTCACCTCTGGCAGGATCCCTGCTAAATAACATAAAAACATAAGAACATAACAAGTGCCTTACTGGGTCAGGCACTGGTCCATCTAGCCCAGTATCCCATCTCCAACAGGATGGGATGCCTTAGGGATGGCACTGAACCAGGTATATCTAAAGTGATCTATTACCTATTCATTAAACTCCCTTGATTGAGTTCCTGACAGGTTGCCTGCTCCCCCCTCTCACAGGGCAGCCATTGAAAAAGAGGAGAATGGCTTTTAAAAGAGAAGGGGTAAGCAAGAAATAGAAACACTGGCTGATCTCTACCACAGAAGAAAGGGAGAACCCCAAAAGTCCTTACCGCGGAAGTTGGGATGATAGAGGCCATTGTGTCCAAGGTGCCACTTGCCTGAAAGAAAGCAACAGATAAATAAATCCTGGTTCACCTGCTGCATTTGCAGGCGAGTGCATGCAACACACAGAACGCAGTATTTGAGCCCAGTGCCTGACACAGCTAACTATTTCTGTACATAAGGCCTGCCTGTAACGCCCAGACTTTCCGGGGGCCAGAAGAATCGTCTGTGGCTGCATGGCTCCCACCTGTCCAAAGCCCTAAAGATGCTTTGCAAGATGAGGCTTTCTGCAAGAATTTAAACCATCTGTTCCCAGCTTCAGCCTCTGAACTGCAGGGCATGTCATGTTCTCATCTGCTCTTAATAGGGTTTGCTGGTATAGCCATTCCAGTACAGCTGCAACTGCAAAAACACTGCCAGCGCAATGAAGATTCGTGGCTCTGCCCCAGCTCTGGACCGTGCTGTCACCATCACAAAATCCCAGCCCTGGAGCAGCTCCATGCCCAGCTGCAAGCCCTGCCAGCACTGCTGGGGCTGGTCTCCATGGAAACTCTGCCCCCCCCCCGCACTGGGGTCTCCATGGAAACCAGCCGCAGCAATGCAGGCAGGGGCTGCTGGGAAATGGAGTCTGCCGCAGGCCCAATCCAGCCCGCAGCCTGGATTTTCCCTGCTCCTGGCCTAGAGGTAAATAGGCACTTAAGGAAGTCAAAGGGGCCAGAGTCACATCATTCCCTTGTGT